AGATACATCATGTAAAGGTACAAGATCCCAATGATGAATGTAACTGTATTTTATACCTAAAATGTACCAATAAACTTAATGGAAAAAAAAAAGATTTTGCAGTATCCTCATAGTCAAACCCATTCTGCTTTTGAAACACAGAGCTTCAGAGCAACTTGAAATTGATTTGCCCAAGTGAGAGCTACCAAAGTTCCCAAGAGGGTCTAGTTTTCCTGCCTTCCATCCTGGGGACATTTTCACCTCACCCCGAGACACAAAACATTCTGGACAAGACACTTCTCCCTTCTGGGTCTCATTAAAAGACTGACTGGATGATTGCCCTTAAAAGCACCCCACCCCATTCTCTCCATCCCACTCAGTATTCAGAACATGCTGAGTGCTAACCAGCCACCTCCAGATCCTGTGACATGCGCCTAAGTGGGAGACAGATGGTAGAAAGAGGAAAGGCCCAGAACTGACCTTTGGGGAAGATCTATCAGCAGTATCCTGGGATCCCTGTCCACCCACCTCCTGGGCATGGAGCCCACCTGTAAAACTGCTCCTCGCTGCCCAGCTGGAAATGCTCGAAGTTGGCAGAGAATGTGTTGCCATCCCAGTCTTCCATCTCCACTCGCAGAGAGTACTTAGTGCTGTTGGTGAGCTGGTGCACCACCTCGTTGCCCAGCCAGTGCTCCCCAGATGGGTCTCCAAAGCCCTATGGGGTGGAGGAGGATAAGGTGGGCTGCATGCTAAGGAAGGAGCCTATGTCTCTGGCTGAGAAATGGGGCTGGGCCAGGCTCTGGGGCCAGATATCTTAAACTGCTGGGTCTAATGATTACTGTGAATAGGCTTGGGGAAGGAGACCACCACTTTCCAAACGAAAAAGACTAACACATTTATAAGTGTAAAAGCACATTAAATATTCTTGAAATCACATTGCTCCAAATTTCAGGAACAAACAAAACTAATCACTGGAGATCTAAATGAAAAGTGACTACTTTGGGAGGGGACAATTTGGAGGGAGCACAACGGGCCTTCTGGGGTGCTGTTAGGTTTGTGTGTCTGGCTCTGAGTGGATCACACAGGTGAGCACATATGTGAAAATCACTGAGCTTTACACTTTGTATTTGTGCAGTTAGCTGCATGCCTATTAAACCTAAGTATAAAGATTTTTACCTGCTACATAAAAGGTAGAGCAGACTTTGCAGGGACAGGGCAGGAAGTGCAAAATTTCTGCAACGTAAAAATGTACAAAAACTTAAGAGCACATAGAATGTCTTGTCATCATCAGTGCACAGGTTCAAGAAACCAAAGCACTTGGCAGAACAATGGTTCAGCACCAAGGACAGGACACACCGAACCCCTACTCCCCATGGGTGGGATGAGGTGTCACTTACTAGCTAAATGTTAACATCCAGCTTTCTTTTGTGTATTTCTGTGTCTGAGCTCTCGATTTCTCTTTGCCATCTTAGTGATTTTTTAAAATCTCAATTGGTTCAAGAACATCTATAATTTAATTTAATATTTATATTTAAGTGTTTATCAAATGGAACAACAAGCAGACACAGATGCTATATTTCCTTGTGGATATCTTTCCTATTCTTTTGCTTTTGCAAAATTTAACAGCATTTAACTTAACATTCCCTAAATTCCTTGCTCAAATTTAATTTAAGAAAATTGGAAGGCAATCAGGAAGTGTGTCTCATCTTGCAAAAAGCACATAGTCTTTGAACAAGCAATTCCACATTACAGAATTTGTTCTGCTGATCAAGTGGTCACAGATGAATCAAAAGGAGAAAGAAATTCACTTAAGCAGTGTATGCAGGTGTGGGTGACTAATATTTCCTGCAGTTGCCTCCTTTGTATTTCTTTTTTAAAAAAAAAATTAAGAAATGTATATCCTTTCCAAAACTTGAAAGGAAACCTAAAATTTCATTCCTAGGACATGTGTCAGAAATTTCAAGAAGAGGTTCAACTTCAGGGAATGGAATCCTGGGAAATGCATGGACACTGGGCAAATCTGTTTGATGGTAGGTGGCTTAGGTGAGCTGATTAATTTTTCTGGGGAAGCTATGAGGGCAAACACCCTTCTCTCCCCCACCAACACCTGAGCACCTGCACCAGGCTTTGGAGCTGCAAAGCCCCTCCCCAGGGCAGCAGTGTCACCTGCTTGTAATCCTCCCAATTCCGCTGGAAATTCACTGTGCCGTCCTTACGGCGCTGGATGACAGTCCAGGCACCTTCAGCGTCCATCACACAAAACACCTGGGGGAAGAGGGAGCAGCTGGGATCCTGGGACACAGCCAGAAGCCAGGTCCAGGGCAGCATAAGGGTGACTTGGCTGATGGACTCCCCCCAACCCCCAACAGAGCAAATGGTGGCCAAGGGCATCAGAAAGATCCAGGCTCCTATGTCCCATCCATAGTCATCATTTCCTAAAGTGACAGGCCAGTGATGCTCTTCCACAGCTGCCTTCTTCTCACTTGTAAAATAGGAGTATTCATGCCTTAACCTCCTTGTGCCTCAGTTTCTCCTCTGCAATCTGGCATTACAGTGACACTTAAATGAGATGGATCATGTGAATGTTTGGAAGAGATCCCAGCACATACCAGAAGAGAGGTGAATGAAGGCTTCCCACTCCTTAATATTGCAGGGATGCTGGAAGGATTAAATGGAGAACGGCACAAAGGGCTTAGTCACCCTGCAGAAGCAGGAAATGCTAGTACTGCTGTCCTTCTGTGCACAGTGATTTGTTGAGCACCTACTGTGTATGAGGCTCTTTTAAAACAACTGGAGATGCTCACATGGGTGACAAAAAGAATCTTTTCTCTCAAATAGCTTAGCATCTATCACAGCTACATACTTCAGGCTATGTCACACTCTATTTTTTTCTATCATTTTGGTACAGGTTCAATATTCCATGAATGCAGACTTGGTGCTGGCCCTGTACTGGATGAATCATTGATAAATCAGAGACAAATCAGGCCTCAGGCTGGCTTGGTCTGGAGGAGGCTATGATAAGGCAGGCAGACAACTGAATGTGAACATTTGGGCAGCTGTAAGGAGGAGCCCCAAGAAGCAGTGACTGGCAACCCCGAAAAACTTCCTGGAGGAGGTGGTTTCTGAACAGGACATTGGATTATGGTGTGTCTGCTGAGAGAGATGAGTGGAATGACATTTTCTGGGGAAAGTGCAGCAGGAAGGAGTAGGGGCTCTGAGGTAGAAAGGTCAGCTGAGGGAGAGAAGCAGGCCACCTGTTGTGGGGTACAGGGTGTGCAGGAGGCTCAGAGGGGAAGAGCTTGCTTCAAAGTGAAGCTGAGGGTTGAGCCCAGACTCTTTCTCCCTGGCCATCTCTTGCCTCTCCATGAGTGCCCCGCACATCTCAACCATTCACGCTTCCACAAATTCCACCACAGCTACATTTCCTTAGCTTTTCCAAAGAGTATTTTCTTTGAAAACTGGTGACATTTCTTAAAAATTTTTACCAGTACCGTAAGTGGAAAAACACTAGCATTTGCATTTATTCACACGATTGCAAAAATAAATACAATGAAACAAAATATTATGAATTTCTACCTAGACATTTTTGCCAACACAGGGCCCTTAGCTGATCCCTTGGCTAAAAGGGCCATTTAGCAGATGTGTGGGAAGTGTGAAAATCACTCTGGGGACAAATGGAGCCTCTCCATGACACACTCAGAAAGTGGAAAGGAAGGTGCAGAGGGAATTTTGAAGCAGGACCACTGGACAGTTGCTCCCTTTCCCTTACCCTTCTGGCTGCCCCAAGCTCTACCTTACGCTCATGCTCTCCTCTAACCCCTTCCTGCCTGACAACTGAACCTGTGAGCTCAGGGCCACCTTGGCAGCCACTCACTGAAGATGGTGGCATCTCCATGGGCACCAGTCACTACTGTCCTTAATAGAGTAGAGCCCCAATTCCTGCCCTCAATTGGAAATAAACCTCTTTGTGCTGAGCTCCTGGAATTGCAAAGTTTGCTTGTTTTATCAGAGAGCATGACATTCACAAGCACAGAGCTATTTCCTGCTACCCCAATGAGAGGGTTCGCTGGAGGGCAGCACTTCCACTTTGGGGACTTCTGGGCATTGCTCCAAGGTTTCACCTCTGCCTGGATAAGGGCTCCACAAAGCAGCCCCCACACACTTTACTGGCATCTCATTTGGCCAACTCAATGCTGAAGAAGACTCATCTGGAAAGCTCTCAGATCAACACCTACTGATAGACTCACATCTCCCCATGCCAGGACCCTCCTCACCCTCTTGGTCTGGTTCAGACTGGGCACTAAGATGATGTAGACACCATCCTTATTGAGCCCAAACTTGCGGATATCCTCACAGTCCAGGAACCTCTGCACAGCTGTACCTGTGGAGGCAGCAATGGAACAAAACAAAAGTCAGCTGGAGATGAGCAAGGAGAGGGAGGAGACTGGCAGGCTCACCTGCCTCTTGTGTGCAGGTCCTGGGTGGAGAGGTGCAGGGATGGGGAGATGAGCTAGACACGGCAAGGTTTCCTGGAGGAAGTGATAGCCTGGACATGAGCAGTGAGCAGGACTTCCCAGCTGTAGAAGGGGCGGTGTTCTGGGCAGAGGGAACAGCATGGTAAAGGCTCCAAAGTGGGCAGTTTGGTGTGAGAAGGGCACAGGGGCACAAGGGATGTGGCTTGCTCACACCATGAGTGTGGAGTCTCTGCAGAGAGCACTAGCTGCTTGAGGTGGTACCAGGCTGGCAGAGAGAGAGCAAGGAAGGAAGAGGGGAGGCTGTTTCACCAGGGCCAGCTGGCTCTGAGTGCCAGCTGTCGAGCCCCGACTGCTGTGCCCAGGAAGAACACTGTAGCCAGAATGAGACTGAAAGACTGGAGGCTCAAAGCAGGGAGGCCAGAGAAGAGGATCTAGGCTCTTCAAAGATAAAGGGAGCCCTCACTCCAGCAAGGTGCTTCCCATTCCACAGACCAGGAGGCTGAGGGCTCATGTTGTGGGCACCCAGCCAGCTGGGACACAGTCCCCCCTTCTTGGGGCTTACTTGGATGTGAGGCTCTGGGCTCCCCTCCTGGCTGCAGCCCTGGGCACAATGACCTCAATCTGCCTTCTTCAGGGGGTGGCCACGGGTCTTCAAGGGCCCATGTTTCTTCCCTCTAGATTGTATTTCAGATCTCTGACAAATATTGACTTAGAAACTACCAATACCCATGGACCTCCGGGAAAAGTTATTGGTGAAAAACAAATGTATAGATTTGCAATCCTCCCTTTAGATTATTTAGCAGGACCAATTAGAGATTTGGGCTGTGATTCCACTGGAAGCCAAAATCTGGATAGGCTAATAACCAAAGATGGGGCTAAAGATCCAGATGGATAGATGTAAATACCAGGGAGGAGCCAGGAGACTACCAGGAGGTGGGACTTCCTGTTTGTGCCTTAACCCAAACTGTGGCTCCCAGATTTTGCATCTGGAGCACCTGTCAGAAGGGGGCTGCTGTAGCCATACCACCAATGACAGGACTAGGACCTATGTCAATCCTGGCTTGTGCATAACATTTCCCACACAGCGGTCTCCACTGCCCACCTCCCAGCAGCCCCCAGCTCCAGATGGTTCATTAGAATTGGAGTGCAGACAAGCAGAGGACGGGGCTGGTCTAGAAAGGAGAAAGGACAGGCCATGCTTCCCATAGCAGTGCAAGGGCTGAGCTGGAAGTGGGCTTGAGAATTCCAACTATCCCATCCATCACTCTATGCACTGCAAATTTCCTTAGTCAACAACAATAACAAAAACAATAATGATAACAGTAACAATAAAAGTGAAATAAACACCACTGTTGTGCTCAGGGATTTTAGTTGCCTATTTACATTTGGGAAAAAGGTTGGGAGGGGAGTGGGACCTAAAGACATGGTGTACTGGTAGGATATACAGCATAGTGTGACCCAAACCTACATTCCCTCTGAGTCTCTGGGATCTGAATCTGTATTCATTTCACCCACTTCTGGCCCCAGTCAACAGCACCTTGCTGAGCCCCTACCTGTCCATGGCCTCATCTCATCCTCCATGCAAGAGCTCTGTGAGATTATCATCCCCATTTCACAAGTGAGGAGAACTGAGAGATTAAATTAGTATGCAATGTCCCAGGGCAAGCAAGTGACAGAGCCAGGGCTGAAATTCCACTGAAAGGCCAATATCTCTTTCTGCCTGTCAACCCACCCTGTGGAGACTCTGTGTCTCCATAGGAGGGCAAAAGCACCTTCCAATCATCTTTGGGTAATAGTGGAGGGCCTTTGTGCAAAGGGTGCCTGTGGCAAAGTGCTGACACAACCTGCCACACACTATTGAGCAGTTGGGCACATTGAAGACTGGTTTTGTTCTGAGCCTGTGGGGAGAGAGGGCCCCTGCCCTGTGCTTGGGCTCAGCCACAGATATTACCCATGGGGCTTATTCTGCAGTCCCGCTGCCATGCACAGGCCCCTCCACATCTGGTCACTCCATATCTTGTGGGTTGGAAGGCACCCAGCTCTACTGCCTGTGGCTTCCTTGGGTCTGCTGGTCTTAGGATGGAGCCACAGTGGGGTCCTCTGCCCCAAGTTCCTATCAGCATGGTGCCTGGACTCCCATCTTTATTTTCTGGATTCCTTGTCCTTGAAGGCTCCCTAGGCTCCCATGACTGAGTAGCAGCAGTAGGAGCCCCTCTCTGACTTCCCTCTTATCCAGCCATTCTCTACTTCCTAAAAGGAGGCCCTCACTGTCCCACATACAACATCCTCTGGGCTCAGATGAAAGTCCCCTCCTTAGCACAGTCCCTAGGTCAGCTCTACTAAGGAGCTTCATGAATACTGAACATGAAACCTGTACTCAGCTGGCACTCAACAAAGAAGTGTTTCCTCCCTCCCTCCCTCTGAGGCCTGCAGAAAGGCTGAGTACATTTGCAAGAGACAGTGCCTGTGTGCACTGCTGGATTCTTGCACCCAGCTCTGGGTCTGGCACTCAGTGGGTGAGGAAGCAACATTTGTTGACTGAGTGAGGAAGCTGGAATCAGGAAGACTTGGCCCCCAAGTGGGCTGCACTGGGATCAGTGAGTGCTGAGGAGCAGGCCAGGCACTCTGCTCCTTTCTCAAGCTGGGCTGGGAGGCTTCCTGCCTTCCCTGTGGTCTTCTTGGGCTTTGAGGTAGAGCATTAATAGGAGAGAAGTTCTTGGAGGTGGATTGAGTCCCACACCCCCATTCTATGGGGAAACTGAGGCCCAGGGAGTGGTAGGGCAAGTGCAAGCAACCGAGGCTGAAAGGTGAAGCCTGGAACCCAAAGTTGTCAGTTAGGCTGCTGCTGACCTTTTTAACACCATCACCTCCACTGAACAGATGGGGAAACTGAGGATAGAGGTGGGGTGGGGTGGGGCAGAACTGTGGAGTCAGAAGGCAGTCTGGATCGGCTTCTCTTGGGCCATTGCTGTGGCCATTTTTATTACTGCTCATTGCTATTTGTTGTCCAGATGGCCTTAAGGACGTGGTCTTTCCCAGGATGAGACCAAGCCCAAGATGACCCTGGAGGCTTAGCAGGGCTCCTTCCTGCCTCCCCCCCTCCTCACCAGCCTCCTGCCCCAGAAGCCCCACTAGTTCACCTGGGCTCTGCTCCACCATGCGTTTGAGGAGTTGCAGGCTCTTCAGCAGCTGGTGGTGCTGCTGCTGCAGGAGGCTGGAGTTACTGCGCAGAGCTTCCAGGCCCTGACGGATGCGGGCAAGTCTGCTGCTATGTTGGTCCAGTTGCTGCCACAAATTCTCCTTTTCACTGCGGAGGCCCTCCAGCTGGGCCTTCTGGTGAGCCTCCATGTTGTCCAACTGAGTTTCCAGGTTACTGCAGGGTGGGGAGCACAGGGATGAGCCTGTTGTCCTGCCCCAAATTCATAACCAGACAGGGAGACCCAGAGAGGTGGAGCATCCTGATTAGGGTTACTTGTCCCACATTCCATGTCCGTAGTAGGCATGGACTGGGGAGGGCAGTGGTGTGCACTGGGGTTCATGGGAGGATAGTGGTCAGACCCTTGGGACAGGACCACCCAAGGAGCCATTGACTGGCTCCAGAACCCCAGAGGCTGAGAAGGGGTGGGAAGGGAGTGTTTTACTCTCAATCCAGTTTTACAAACCCATTCTCTAGACAAAGAACTAAATCCAGCCAGGGCAGAAGAAATTGCCCCAGGTGCCAAATTAAAATTACAAATTGAGCACACTGGAATTCTAGAATTCTAGATGTCTTCACCAATCATGAGCTTATTGACAGCAACTTCTTTCTCTGCAGATTTCCAAGGAACTGTCCAATTCAGAGTGATTGAAAATGCCACAGTTCTTGCCACCTGGAACTTGGGGTAGGTGAATGAGATTAAGAAGCTCTACTAATGGCACTCAAGTCAGAGAGAGGGGACAGTCCTGTGGCTGGGCCCTGTACAAAGCACATGCATGCAGTAACTATCTCGCACTATTGACAAGGTTGTTCACTGAGTAGGTTTGGCTCCCTCAAACCTTGACCTTAATAGTTTATTCTCCATTCAACTCAAAACCAAGATAAAATCTGGGGGCTTTGGGTCAGGCTTTTCCACCTTATCTGAACACCAAGACTATTTTTTTCTTTGTAATTTAAAGATGTTCCCTGATGCAGATTTACACATAGTGAAGGGACTCTGACTTCCACACTAGAAACTGGTAACTGTGGTGTCCTCAGGGAAGGGGAATAGGTGGACTAGACCAGGTTTATTTATTTGCCAATCATTAAGGCCAATTAAAATGCACAGAGTGAATGGTATGATATGTAGGTTATATCTTAATAAAGCAGTTAAAGTTTATAAAATAAAGAGAGAAAGAAGGAACAAAAGCAGAAATACAGAAACAAGGTGTCCCAAGCCCTAAGAACATTCCCCTTCTCTGCCCCCACTCAATGCTGGGGGATGTGCCCTAGGCCTGCCTGGCCCCCAGCTCAGCCCCAGCCAAGTGCTGTTGCCCACCCTTCTCTCAGATCTTCTAGGCTCCAAGCCTGATTCTAGTCCTTACCACTTTGGTCGAGGCCCATCTTCAGCCCCAGCCCCCAACAATGGTCCCTCCTCATAGTCCTAAACCAGGCCCTGGTCCCATCCCACATACTGACCTGGGTCCAGCTGCCACCACAGCCACAGCCTCAGCTCCGGCCTGGGTCCCAAGCTTGAGTCCTGGCTCAGCTCCTGTCCCACCAGGACCAGGTGCTAGCACCCACCTGTTGTGGCCATGCAGCAGGTCCAGTGTGCCTCTCTGCTTCTGCAGCTGCTTCTCCAGCTTGTCAGTGGTCAGCGAAGTGTTCAGCATCTGGCGCTCCATGTGTGACATCTGGTTCAGGACCTGTATCAGGGAACAGGAGGGTGGGGGCTGTGTGAGTCCCACAGGACTCTGCCAGCTGCCATTAGCCTGCCGACAGGCCTGTCACTCCTGACACTTGCTGACCAAGAGCCACCCTCCAAGTCCTTACTCCTTGAGGCCACTTGTGCACTTACTCACACACAGGTCCTGCCTGAGCACATGATCTGCTTCCTGAATTGGCCCTTCCCCGTCACTGCCCGGGACAGTTCCAGTCCTCCTGCTCTCAGGCCTCAGAAGGATCATCCCTGACCCCACATGCTCTCCATTGTCAAGTGCCATCATCCACCCCTTCTAAATGGTCCCTGACCTCTTCCCTCCATGGCCCCCTCTATGGCCCCTGCCTCTGTCATCTCTTGCCCAGTGTCCTACACTGGCATCCTCACAAGGCTCCCTGGCCCACCCTTGTCCCCTCTAGTACCTTCCTGCTCAGCAGCCTTTCCAAATGTGTCTTTTCTTCTCACGATTCCCCTGTTGCTCCTCCTGTCCTCACCATACTTCACCAGGCCCATGACTGTCTCCCTGCATCACCTCGGTGGCCCCACCTGCTCCTCTCCCCTGGTCAATCCAGCACACTGCTGTCCTTACATTCCTGGAGCTGCCTCCATCCTCCCACTTCCTGCCTTTGGAGGCACTCTTATCCCTATCTGGCACACACTGCCCACTGAGCCCTGTTTCAGTGCTGCTCCTCAGTGGTCCCTCCTGGCCTGGCAGCAGCATTGGTAGCTTTGCCCTGCCCGCCGTGACTAGCACATCACGTTCCCATTGTCTTCTCTCAGCACAGTCACCATGTAGGCTACACAATCCTCATTCTGCTGCTTTCTTGATAAGTTCCACAAGGTAGGGTTGCATGTGTGTCCTGTTTATTCCCTTGTTCTCTCCCTCCCACTGCTCAGGAAGTCCTTAGCCCCTGAAGTCTAAAAGACTCTTTACCATGCATCTTCCTTATGCACCTAAAACCCCAAGAGGAAGGACTGTGTCTCTCTGTCTCTGGTGCCCAGCATAGCCCAGGCACTGCACACACACAGGACAAAAAGCCAGGCGGGGCCCATGATAGTCCAGCCCCACAGGACCCACAGCCCAGAGGGCAGTAGTGATGGGACTGGGTCCTCATGGAGGGGTGCCAAGGGCATATGACCCAGAAGAGGCCTTGACCTAAGCCAGGGACCAAGGTCAAGGCAAGACACGAGCCTGGCCACCCACCACATGCTCCCCATTACCTGAGCCTCCATGTCAGTCAGCTTGAGGGTCTGGTTTGTGGTCTGGTTCAGGAGGCTGGTGTCCAGCTCCAGCATGGGGGCCGTGTGGTTCTGAACTATATTTTGCTGGGCCTGCTGCAGCTTTGACCCAAAGAGGGTCTGGATGTTCTCTGCCAGCTGCAGGGAGACAGGGGACTGGGTCACGGACAGGGGTCAGGGTAGCCTCTGTCCCTCCCAAGTGTCTTCATGTGGAGCCACAGAGCAGCCAGGGGCTCCGAATGTGCCAGGTCAGGCCACTGCCACCCCTGGCCTGGACCATCCCCGCAGCTTTCTCCTGATCTCTGGACTTCTACCATCCTCCCTTGCATAGCCAGAAGGATCCTGTTAAGCCTAAATGAAGCCACACCCTCTTTGCTCAATTCATCCATGTTGCTATCTCACTCAGAGAAAAAGCCAAAGTGACACTTCCCCTCCTGCCCTAGCAGGCCTCCTACCACATTCAAATTACCACTCCCTGAATTTGTACCATGTCTATCTCTCTGTTGTCTCTCTTGCCCTCTAGAATGTCAAGTCCACAAGGCTGAGGACTTGATCTACTTCACCGCTTTATCTCTGGGTCTAGCACAATGCTTGGTAGACAGCAGATGTTAAATAAACATCTGCTCAATGAATTAATGCTAAAGGGGAGCAGCAAGACCCAGAGCACGAGCTCCATGTCATGCCCTGGCCCCAGCTTCCCAGGGGAAAGCAGCCAGCAGGTGGGCAACCACCTTTCCCTGGTACAGTTTGCAGGTCCATCTGCCAGGCTGTGCTTTCTAACTTCTGGCCTTGTCTGTCTGAGAAGCACGGTTGGATCCTGGTCCCCAAGGGCCCTGGGATCACCCTGCATTTCACTGACAGAGCTGCTCTTTCCTGTGAGCCAGGAAGCAGGGCTGGCCTGGAGGCTCAGGTTATAAAGGTGAACAGTGTGTCCTCAGGCTCAGAGCCTGCAGGCAGAGAGGAG